ATCAGAGGTTATGAGGCAGCTGTCAACTGCTGGCCTGAAGAATGTTACACTTATTTTCAATGCTATCCTAAGACCTGGCATTTTTCACAGAAGGTTTCACAGATTATCCTCATTCCAAAACCTGGAAAACCAACTGATGCTGTCACTTCCTACAGACCGATCAGCCTCCTTCCGGTCTTGTCAAAACTAGATAATAAATATATATTTATGCAACAATTTACAAAACGTATATTTCTGTATATAAAACAGTAAATATGTGTTCATATATAAAAAAAAATATATTGTTATTATATGCAAATATGTAACGTGGATGTGAAATTTTCTATTTGTTTAAATTGAATAGATTTTTATTTATTTAGATTTTTTTATTTGATTTAAATAATACAATATAAAATTGCTTTTATTATGTACTAACTTGCGTTGTTGTAGGAATTTGTGTTATTTTTTCTATTTAGAATGTTATCGAAATCGATATTTCAATGATTAAATAAGTTATGAAAATCTTTTTGATAAGATGATTTTATTAATGTTACTAAACAACATTTTCTTGATAATATATTGAAACGCATTTTAACGAATAGAATATGTTGTTGGAAATATTGCACAGAAAAGATAGTATTAAACATAGCTATCAAACAAAGAACGTAATAAAGAGTATCTACCACTTTGAATAGCAGTCATGTCTTTACATTATTACATTAATAATTATTATGTTTAGTCCAGAAAAAAATGTTAAATGAAATAATAATACATTTACAATTTAATTTAATTAATTAATTAAATAATTTAAATCAAACATGGATTGTCTTGTCATCTCTATATTCACATAATATAAAGTAAAGCATAATTAATATGTAGATAATAAACGATATAATTAGATATAAAATATATTATCAATTGTTCTTCTAAATTATTTCGCGGTTCATTATTTCCTTAAGTTACATATAAATTATAAAAATGATCTAAATGAAGCATTACGATTTAGTTTTGCCGGCATTTTTTAGGTTTTTGAGTATATGTCATTGTGAAAAACGTAATATTGTGATAAAATAACGACAATTCCATATTTTGCGTCATTTTGTAATAAGTCATTTTGGCATGACAACAAAAGATTTTACTAACAAGAAATGAAACGTTATTACAGAAATTAAAAAGTAATCATAATCAAATGTTTTAATAAGGATCTTGAATAAACACTTTAATTTGTAAAGGTTACTACTGGTGGATCTTTTGTTGATTTTTTATAATCTCGACTTCTGAGATTCATTTTAATCTCGAGATTATAATGAGAATGCCAAAAATAAATGAAAATTTAAAACAGTCAACAGAATCTTATTAAGTAATGTGACTACCCGCGTGTCACATTACTGGAAATAAAAGAGCAGATGCGCTAGCCTGCGAAGGGCATGTGGGAAGGAGAATGATGTAATCTATCACATACGCTGATTTGTATCCAATTATTAAAAAGGAAGAATGCGATAAATGGCAATATGTATATAGCAACGCATCAATTACTAACGGAAGAAGGTACTTTGAATTTTATAATTTACTTGATTTTTTTATCCATATTTTCGATTTTAATTTTTATTGTTATTTATGTTTATTGTAGTCTATAACAAACTATCACAACTTATATACCTATCCTATAGTATTGATTGCCTAGATCAGTGTTTTCCAAACTGGGAGGCGTGAATATTAGTCACAGTGAGCAATTTTCCAAATGACTGCTAAATTTTTATCTATTTTTTTGAAATATATAGGAGAGAGGAGACACCAAATGATTAAATATATTTAAGGCGTTGTAACATCAAGTTTGGAAACCACTGGGCTAGATGCACTCCGTTGTGCGAGCTAAGTTACATACTTCCACTCGTTTCGAAGTGGAAGAAACATAATCTTATAAATATAGCCAACCATTTCCTACGTATCAGTTTTTTTGGTGATACATAATGAGAATCGAAACCTAATGAATTAGAAGAAAATAATGAGGAAACTACTAATAAATTTTTAGCTCTCTTTAGACCAGAAAAAATATATTTGTTAAATTTATTTATAACAATAAAAATTGATATGCATGAAAAAAGCAAGGCATAGTTTTAAAGAATTTGCTGATACAATTAAATAGGTGATAATATCATCATTCTGTTGATGATCTTTGATTTTAAATGTCCTTGATTTAATTTGGATTGCTTTAATATATAATGATAGCTACCGCCTTGCGCCTCAGCGTGTTTTTGTGTCATAAACAATTGAGCCATACTACAAATAAATATGTTGCATTGCTTAGCATAAAGGTTACGATTTGCTGATCTAAATAATCAAAGGTTCAATATTCTCCGGAAATCATAGTATATCACAAATTCATATATAATTTGGTAAGTTATAATCACAAAATCTTACAAATTCATACATAATTTGGTGAGTTAAATAGAAGTTTTTATCCATAACACAAATTATTTTGTAAATAGAAAACTTTTAGAAAATATCAACGATGTCGATGATGTTGATGTTTGCTTCAGTCCAAATATTGCTAGCAAAATATCAGAATATTGAAATGTCTGCTCGATGTCAATATTTACCATTTACCTTATATTTATTTTTGTGTCTGTATCACTTCCATAATTTTCTGCTTCTGTAGCTGAAAATAGTCGAAACTATTCATAGACAAGAGCAATAGAACAAAAGAGTAAAAAATATTATCTAACTTGAATGACTAACAGATTTTAAGTTTAAAGATTAGTTCATATATTTACGAATGATAAAACTTGAAGATATTTAAACAAAATAATTATTAAATATACATGAACAGAAATAAAAAATAAAACAGAGACTAGAAATTAATTAATTATTTAATCAATATTTGACATAATTGAATTTCGGTTACGTAAAAATTTACGTAAATTAGTCCTAAGGGTTTATTACCTGTCGTAAAGACCCGAATTTAATATACGGTGTCCCAGCAAGAGTAGAAAATCTTAATTTTAAATAAAACACAACTTTTCAGACAAAAATGATTTAATCGTAAAGTAGAATCGTAATCGTAAAATTGTGGGAATTATGTATGAAACAACACATGTGCAGTTGGCAGTTGACAATTCAGTTGTTTTAACGAAATTTGCAATCACGGTTTGGCATAAGTGCATCTGCTTTATTAACAAAATCCAACTTGATAAAGCAATTTTTAGTATTATACAAGGGTCTAAGTTGGCATTAATTCATTTATTTCTAAAAAACAAAAGTTGTTTCTCAATTTGTTAAAGTCTAACGATATTTCATGTCAAATTTCAAAAAAATCGGTAAGAATGGATAGGAGAATGCAAGATTAGTGATATAAGGTTGGTAGAAATTCTACCACCAACACAGCAAAAATGTGTGTTGTCATTCTCTACGGATTTCGAGATCAACTCAAGCCTATGCAAATTTTCCAGGAATGCCAAAATGTATATGGAGTAAATGCATCATCCCTTGTGACTATTTCCAAGTGGTTTCAAAGATTTCAGACCAGATATTTTTCTGTGGAGAAATTTGTTGGGAAACCAGAAAGAAGGGGAACTTCGTCGCTACTTTTTACATCACGATCATGCGCCCACTCACACTATTGAAATAACCAACAACTTTCTTGCACTCTCTGGCATCAATGAAATTCCCACAGCACCATATTCTACCGACCTAGCGCCTTGTGATTTCTGGCTGTTTCCGAAAATTAAAAAAAAATAAGTAAAAAGTCTTCAGTTCCAATGCAGAGATCATTAATTAAAAGTTGAAAAGCTCCAAAAATCCGATTTTGAGGAATTTTTTGAAAGGCGGCTCTACTGACTTAAGAAATCTATTGAAATAAATGGAAATTATGTAGAGAAGTTTCAAAGGAATTTAAAAATATTAAAATAAAATTGTTTTTATTTTGTTTTTTTTTTCAGCCAACTTAGCGAATATGGGATATTTGTTTCAATTTGTGGCAAATTTATTTAAACAAGAAACATGCTTGAGTTAATAGATCTATAGACGTTCATTGTTTTTTACAATAATATTTTATTGAAAAAATAGTAATAAATAATATTTTAAAAGCATTCTTTGTTCTTGGTTTTTCTATGCGGTTTTCTATTAAACAGTCGTTTTTTGTATAAACCCTAGTTATTGCACATATATAGTAAATTTATTATTTTTTCGCTATAGAAACTGAAAAATAGTACATAGTGAATATAGTTTTATAGCGTTTGTGACCGATGACAAATCAAATAAATCTTGTATCAAACAATTTACGCTAGCGCCGAAGGTACATGCATAAAAAATCACTTAACCAAATTGGAATGCTGCTGCAATATAAAGTGCTGTGTGACACTAAAATTATGATGCTGGCTCATAAAGGATACGAAGATTTATTGAATTCATTCGAAATTGATAACTGAATACATGTACATATTCCATGCGATCTCCATAACACTGATATTTCCATAGACCAGATCTTGATTTAGAATAAATTATTATTGTCAGGTGATCAGTGTTAAATGTAATAACTTCGTATAGGCAATTGATAAATGAAAAAGAGATAAACACAAATAATCGACTTTAGACTTATAGTTTTAAATGTGGTTTCACTTTATATGTAAGTTGACTGTCTTTCCTTTGTTCAAGGAAAAGCTTCTCATTTTTTTTTATAAAGTATGTATTACATTTAAATATGTTCTAATTATTTATCATAGAAATTAACTAGCTAATAATTTAGTGATTGCAATAATTATAAGTGTCAGTTAATAATTAATATTAGGCATGTGGTAATTGCGCTTTGAATGTGCGAGAATAATTGATTTACCAGAAAAACGAATATCAAAATCCAATTTGCTTTGGAATGTATCTGTTTGTTCTGTTGGAGAATCAATAGTTTTTATTGTAAAACAATACGATAACTATTACGCAATACATTATTTGCTTTATGTTCAAAGGTGTCATATTATATTAATTTATAATAAAAATATTCATGTTTGACGTTGACATCCGTCAATATGGAGAGAACAGTCAATTCGAGATCGCTGTTCGAACAGCTGTTCGTCTTAGAGAAGGATTACAACCATCACTTAGCTCTAATAAAAAGTAAAGATGAAGAAATAGAACGGTTCGTAATTAGTTTCTACTTAAGTTTATAAATTTAAATTTTGCACATTCTTAGATGCAATAATGCAAAAGCGAGGCTAGAGAATTCTGCCGAGCAGAATTTGGTCGAAATGAAACAGCTGAAATCAGAGATTCGTAATCTACAAGAGCGTTTGAACGATGCAAACAGGGAACGCGAGCACGAGAAGAAAATCTGCGAAGATGTAATAAATAGTTTAACTGTAAAGCTGCAGCAAATAAAACGCAAACATGCGACGGAATTGGAAGAAGGGGAGAACGAATTACGGAGAAGGTGCAACGAATTAGAGGACATGCATACCAAAAACATCAACGAAATTGACAATAAATACAAGAAAACCATTAACGATCTGGAGTCGGATGTACAGAGACAAACGAGTACTGTAAAGACAACTGACTTCAACACTTAAAAGAGAAAAGAAATGTAAAGAGAGCACTTATTCCAGGTTGAGAAATTACGAAGGCAATTAAAAAGTTTGATGCAAGATAATATGATACTGCGCAATAATGCGAGGGAATTGGAATCACAATACCTACCTGAAATAACCATTTACAAGGAAGAGCTTAAGACAATGAGGTCGAGCAATGCGAGTCTCAGTTCGGAAATTGAATTCCTCAGAAAAGAATTTGGAAGTCGCGATGTAAATTTTGCGCGAATTAAATCGGAGAACGGGCAGCTCCGAGGGGACTTGGAACTGAAAACAAATCAAATAACGCATTGCATCCAAGAGAAGGCGAAGGTAGAGGACAGCAATACGAAATTAAGTGCTCAAATTCGAGATTTAATTTCACGCTGCAGCGGGTTGACGGAATGCAAAAAACGCATGGAGGTTAGAATCTCGGAGCTGGTGGATGTTGTTCAAAACAGAGGAGCTCAGGAAACTACTGCTTTGGATCAAATTTCCAAGCAAAACGCGTTGTTGAGGGAAACGGTAAAATCCATGCGAGCCGAAAGGGAGACGATAATAAGCAAAGGACAAATCGACGCGAGGGAGACGGAACGCAGGATCGAGGGACTTGAACAACTTATGGAGGAGCTCAAAGAGGCTTTGGGTGGTGGCGACGCGTCCAAGTAGAAAATCTAAAAATACACAACACGCGCCCAAATTGTTTCTTTCGGCAGACAATCGATTGATTTTTGTTAAGTAAATATTTACTAAATTAATTTAAACAAAGTATAAAGTACATACTCTCAAATAATTATATTATAATTAAACACCTTAAATTACAAAATTATTGCATAAATCAATAATTGAAAAGTTTCTTATTACGCCGCGTGTTTGAAATCATACAAGTTGCAATTACACACTATGACTGTTATGAAGGACACCTTATATTCGCTTTTTATGTCCAAAGTATAAATCGTATATAACTTTTTTATAGACATTATTAATGTAGCTATGTGATCTGAGTTTATATTCCTTTTGAAAAAGTAAATACATTTTCCAAATTTAACTAATGTGTTAAATTTTTTCGTTCACGTTGCTGTTACACCAAGCAGGATATAATAATTTATTATTCAATGACTAGTAAATACTTCTAATAACAATATTATTTTGTATAAAAAATAAGGTCCTTAAACAAGAATAATGATTCCATTACAAGAACATTTGCCAATAGTCACATTGATTATGTAAAACATTTTAAAGTAAAATCTTTAAACTCAATATAATTAAATAGATGCAAATTTAAAATGGTTTTATCTATAGTTATCTTTTAATATGTGATTCAATTGTAGTTATAGCCGGCGTGACGCGAGATAATCCTAGGTGTGGACATTAATTAAATTATTTTCCAAAGAAGTCAACTCATAATAAATGTAGAAATTGGTAGAAATCGAATTAAAAGAAGATTATCATTTAACACTGTAGTAAGAGTTTTGAAGTTGAAAAACTGCTGTAGAAAATACTTTTTATATTTCCAATATATTTTGCATAAATTACATAAAGTATAAAACTAAATTGAACACACACCTCCAATCTAAACTATGTAAATAACTTGTAATATATTACAGTTAGCGGCATCTTTTGAATATAGATTGCAGTAAAACAAAAACCAATACTTTTTACAGTGACTACAGTAAGCTCCGATGGGACGCGGCTGTTTTGTGTGCCCCTTCATAGATGGACGTGCAGTTTTACTACAAGAATGAAGAATATATTTAAATCGGTGGAAATCGCAAACCAGACAACCGAAATCGATATCGATGTTTGATATCCCGACGTTCGAAATCCCGACTATGTCAAAATCCAGACTACCATAATCCCGACAGTGTCTTTTATTATTATAAATTTCTACAATACCTTTTTTATGATAGTCGGGATTTTGATTGTCGGGATTTCGATATAGTTGGGATTTTGACATCGTCGGGATTTTAATACAGCCGGGATTTCGAACGGCGGAATTTCAATAGAAGGTCCTTCGGTTGTCGGGCCTGCGATATAGACCCACTTTTAGCAGCATTTACAAGTTTATGATTATGTTTAGGTACAAAATAAAATATAATAAATAAATGATTCAAAGTTTAATATAAATTCAATTTTTATTATTGCATTTACTTAATCAAAAGCAATTATTCTATTATTATATCATAATTTCAGCATAATTATTTTATCCTTAAAATTTACACCCTGATTAAAGTATAAATATATATGAAGTTTTTAACTATTTAAATTTAAAGAATATAATTATTTTAATGTGTAAATAACAATCTTCAATTGAAACATATTTTAAATAAGGTTGAATGATAAATGTGAAATATCTTTTAATGTGCAAATTGATTTCAAAAGATGAATGTTTAAGATGAACAGAAATAACATATGAATGATTTAAATAAGGAACTTTTTGTGGAAGAATTATATTACACGTATATTTGATTTGTTTGCGAAATAACAAACTGTTTCCTTTTTTTATTCAACATAGAATTATAAAAAATATAATTTGTTTAAAAAGTATTTTCAAATTTTTTTTTATAAGAAATTGAAATATACCCAATTGAAATATTATAATAGAATTTCTATTTTTGCTCCAAATGTAATAATAGAAACGACTTCGATTTCTTCAGGAAATGTATATAATACAATAAGATAAACAGAATAGTAAATTCGTTTAAAACATTTTCAACAACAAAATTAATGACATACGCTAAATCATTAAACGAAATTATATATAGGGAAAAAATGGAAAGTAACTATGAATTGGAACTACTAACATCGATTTAACATTATCTTCGTGTTGAACAAGACAATTATGTTGGTTTATACAAACACTTACTAATAACTCTATAGTTAGAATTATTTTAATAGATATGGCAACAATAATTAACGTCAATTAAAACAAAATGGATAATAAATCAGAGATTCTCTGGATGTTAAAATGTCTGTGTGAATTCAGTTTTAAAATTTGTTTTTCTTTCAAATATGTATATGGTAAAAAGAAAAAAAAATGTAATACAAATGTATCAAAAGTTGTTTCTTGTTTTTGCTTGTTTTGTTTGGTTCAATAGGGAACGTTGGAAAATAGATACGACACGGACTCGCCATTGTGAGTACGCCTCACAGCCTCTGCGAACATCATCGAAACATCGATGCACTGTAAATGAAAAGCGTTAAATTATGGTACACTATTTTTTGATTTAGTTTAATTACTTGGATCTTAGGACAATCCTTCATGTGTCCGCCTTGTGGAATAGTGTTGGTGACAACGACAGCCTCGAAGCAAGCGGCGTTGATGCGAGAGATAGCAGGTCCCGAAAAGATGCCGTGTGTTAAGATGGCGTAAACTTTGGTGGCTCCAGCCTCCATCAGTTTCTCAGCTGCGTGACAGATGGTACCACAAGTGTCTGCCATATCGTCCACCAGGATAGCTACTCTGTCTTTAACATCTCCGACCAAGACCATCGATGCAACCTCGTTGGCCTTCTTCCTCTCCTTGTGGATGAGGGCGAACTCCACGTTCAGCCTATCGGCGATAGAGGTGACCCTCTTTGCGCCACCCGCATCTGGTGAAACGATTATGCTGTTCCTCCAATCAGTTATGTTCTCTTTGATCCACTTTAACACTGCAGGCTCAGCGTACAGGTTGTCCACGGGTATGTCGAAGAAGCCCTGGATCTGGGAGGCGTGCAAATCCATGGTGATAATATGGTCTGCGCCAGCGACTGACAGCATATTTGCAACCAGTTTTGCGGAGATCGGAGCGCGACTCTGTTGGCAGAACGAGAACAAAAACGGAAGAAAATGAATTATGATGATAAAGCAAAGACAGTTAATATAATTATTTATGCCAAGAAATTTGCATTACCAAAAAATATCATTGCTATCAAGAAATGTATCAGTTTATAACAATTCTTAATTAGTTGGGACTATATCTTTAAGTTTATCATTTTCAATAACATTATATTAAGACATAATAAATTACTAAAGTTAGTGCGTTTGTGCAATACCTTCCGTGTGGTTAATTACAAGACGGAAATAACAATTACATTTATTAACAATTATATACGGCATAAGCATTTCAAAGTAACATTTTATTTCTAATTAAATAAACTACAACTAAGATTATAGTAAATGTTACATATTTTGAATCACAGATTTTTGTCTCATTACTTTTAAGGTTAAAATTTAAAAATGCACAAATTAAATGTTGGTGCTATATTAATTTGATAGAAATTTTAGTAAGTATTAAAAGAAATAACTTGGAAACTTTGTTTTTAAACTCTCAAGTAAGCACTATTAATTAAAATTCAAATTTGCTTTTCACGAACAATTTTTGAAAATTCATTTTTATAAACTAACAATTTTCAAATATTAAATAAATTAAACGCAAGATAATACGATTGTGTTATCTATTGAACCTAAGATTTTCTAGTTTTGCATGCAGATTTGGGAATGCAAATTTCAAATATTTCACAGGACATTATTATAAATGCTTCAACTAAATACGTCGCATGAAATTGTGCATCTGTACAACAAATAAAATACGTATGGTTTAGTTTACATATAAACATAATAAACAAATAACCATAATCCTGGCCAGCACTGTAACTACGTGTGTGTGTGTGTGTTTACATTGAGAGCAACCTCAATCGTCGACCTCCGAAAATCAGTATTATCACGAGATACAAGATGATAATCAAATTTTTAAAAGCGAATACAAAAAATATAGGAAGCTTAGCTATTGGCTTCGTTATCTTTGTTATGAGTTTTAGGAAAAAATAAAATAAACTTGGAGCTATGCCAAATTAAAAAATAATATGAATAGCAAGTATTAGTGATGTAGGCAGGCAATAAAAAGCAAAGCAATACTAAGTGCCTTTACTTCGTGGAAGTTTTCTCTTGTACGTAAATGATTAAGTTATCGCTGGAATGAGAGAACTAACAATTTCATCATGAGGTTACGAAGATAGTGAAAAGATTCGGATGACCTTGGCGACCTTGTTTATCGCATGTCCTTTTGTAATGTTAACTCACCATTGTTTAAGACACACACACACGCCGTCTTACAAAAAGTGATTAAAATCAATACTGAAACATTTGCGGTAAGCTTCAAGCTGTAAAATAAAATATTTATTACACGGTTAATGTTAATAGACATGTAAGAAAAGCGGAAATGGTTTAATTAAACAGAATCGATGAGAGTAGTAATGTGTTCGGTTCGTATTAAAATTATTAATCACATTTAAAGTAATAAAAAATATACCCTGCAAGCCCCTGATACATTCAGCATATTTATAAGAAAGAGTTTACCCTGAATTTCCTTTCCGTACTTTTCCATTTATTGACGAGTTGCTCTTTGACACCCTCACCCTATAAAATCATCAACTAGATATACTTCTTGTTCGCGTTTTATACTATTTTATTAGCGCGTTCCTTGTCTGAAGTAACGTTACATAATTCTGAATTTCGATAGAAGCCAATAATAATTCGCTGACCAGTAAAGATTCGTCTCCGTTTAAATGGCATTGACTCACTTTAGTGTTAACACTTTGAACTCAAGGTTCATTTGATATGACTGATGTACGAAAACTGTAACAATTTTCGTCGGCTGATAGATGGATAACGTCTTATTAATAAAAAACAAATACACGCATGAGGATATGGATTTAAACTTGAACTTAAGATTTGATTTATTTCATATCACTTTTTATACAAGATTATTATTACTAAAACCAGTTTCAGTTCACTCACTACTACTACTACGTATAGTTTATCACTGATTCTTACAGGAAATTAAGTCTGCATTTTATTTTAAAAGGAATAACCTATTTATCTTCCCAGAATATGAATATGTCTTATAAGTATAGATAAAATTGTTTCAATAAAATACATATTATTCTTAATAATTAAAGAAAAAATCAACATTTTTTACATATCAATCGAAATTGATATTATCGACAATAAATTAATTAATAACCGAAAGAATAACTTTATAACAAATAAATTATATAAGTCGAACCAGTTTATGTTATATCTGAACTAAAAATATGTTGACGCCTTATGTGTGCTTCTTCGATAAATTTAGTAACCAGCCCTGTACTATAATTTACATTTATAAAATGATCCCTTCCTTCTATAAAAATCTACCTGAGTCGGTCATCTTTCAAACTATATAAAGTGATGTCTTCAACATATTTGTGAAGTGGATATCATGAATCACGAAAATTATGTATATTTAAAGAAAATGCAAATCTCATTAATTTTGTGTCGTTCTGAATTTGAATAATTAAATTATTTAATAAAAATTAAGACACAAAGAGCGTAAAATAAATTTTCTTCGCCGCAAAGCGTTTGAATAATATTCAATTTACGTTACACCAAATTGATCAAACTTTTAGTTAAAACAAATATACTGCTTTGAATCATAAAATTACGCATTTGCGTCTTAGAAATAATGTTAGTCGTTATTATCACCGCTCACTATACGGGTCTGGATGTCAAATTTATGTAGTTATTTTGTCAAAGCAAGACGTCAAATCAAAATATTTTGTTGATGGATAAGCATTCCGGCCAGCTGTAAATATGTGGAAAATTGATTGTGTAACGTATTATATTAGAATATGTATTGTACGTTCGTAGAAATCCTTATAACTATTATCATGTAATTCTAGCAAATTGTAAAATCCTTTCAAAAGCTTAAAAACAAATTGATTTGGTAGTAACGATGAACATGTTATTGACTCTAGTATGTAATTATGTTTTTTACATTAAATATTGATCATATGTAGAGATGTGTAGCAAAGTAAATCAACGTATAAAGTCGTAGATAGAGTGTGGGTAAAACTTGTTTGGATGAATGTACATTATACTAGTCACGTGGAGAAGCAGGTAGCAGATAGATAGAGAAAGAGAGTTTATATGTATATAAAAAGAGAAAGAAGAAGAAATAAAAAGGTGCTGTAGAAAATAATAAAAGTAAGAGACAGAAAGAGTGGAAATAATGCGAGCGGCTGGACGTGCGTGTTGTGTACATAGACTTACTTTGTCTTTTTTGTCTTGGCGGGCATAGGGGAAGCATGGGATAACCGCAGTAACGCGACTGGCTGATGCAATCTTGCAGGCATTGATCATAATCAGCAATTCCATGAGGTTATCGTTTATTTCGCCGCTACCTGATTGCACGATGTAGACATCCTCTCCACGGACGGACTCGCCGATTTCCACGCTGCGATCACATACAAGAGAATAGAATATAAATATTATTTTGCAGAACGTTAAAACCACCACCTCCGATGAGGATGATGGTTAGATGATACGGTATAACGAATTCCAGACCGTCATCATAGCGCATTTCCACGTGAAAACGGGCTACGGCTCCGGTTTGGAACGGCGGATCAATTCAAAAACGCACCATGTCTCCAAGTTGCTGAACTTCTTGGTGACCACTTTGCCCAAGTCGATGCCGAGCCGATCGACAATCCTCTGGGCAAGGTCCGGATGCGACGTACCACTAAATACCTTTATGTTCGGCATTCTGCTGTGCAATAATACACTAGACTTCTCGAGGTTCGCCCGGACTAAAGATCTGGCACGCACGGGCTGAGATAAGACGGGCATCACTGAAACATTCCCACCAATAAAAAACATGCGTACATCCCATGCGCAACTTCGCATCGACCAAACGTTACAACATTAAATTCCCTGCCTTCCTACATACATACAGTAATACCGCGGTTTGCGACATAAAATCGTCGATAACTAGTTAATGTAAGGGTTCAGGACAACCAATGCAAGTTGTGTGTCGACAACTACAAATTTGTATTATAGTCACTACGACCGGTCAATCGGGCGAATGAGTTCACCATGAAGATTTGAAGTGGTTCAACTGATTATGTTTATTTAAATAATTTTCAAATTAGGGTCTGGAATGGATCAGTTGCACCATGGTTCTGAAGCAAGATTTATTTACTTTTAGCTAATTGTTATTTATTTTCTTCTTATAGCATCTATTGTATATTTGCCCAATAAATCTAATATATTATAATAAAATATCTATTATTTATATTAATCTTTATTTAAACAGAATAAAAAAAAACAAATTCATACAATAACTATAATCAAACAAACTTTTTTCACTTTTATATTTAGATAAATATTTATATTTAAATCTCTTATCAAAGTTACTTTAAGTACCATAGTTAATTAGACTATTGTAAGGCTCTATATTTGTTAGTGGTTGGATCGAGTCAGAAATATAAATCACTTATTCAAGTATTAAGCAAAACCAGAGCCACAGCAAAGAAATAAAAATATACAATGAAATCAAACGATTATCACGATATTACACAAATAAAAGTTGTAGCAAGTAATTAAAGCATATTTTAAGAAAAATCATAAAAAATAATAATGATTATTTTTCATATTTTTTAGCCAATAAATTATTATTATTATTAATTAAGAATTTATTAAGGAATTTAAATAAACAGTCAAAGAAATTAATTGATTTATTTTGTTTCGTTAAAATGTGATACTAATTATTAATAGATAAGCTGTTAAAAGTATTTTACTAAATTATGTAATTAAACGAAGTTCATTTTATGTAATGTTGTAGTAAACAACAACTTTCTTCATCTCTGTGTTATTTATATAGTCGATATTTACTGTTTATATTGTCTGTAGAAACTAGTATTTTATTCAAAGGTCAGTAACCGGCATTATTATGTATAAGTTTATCTTAAAAAACAAATAACAGTAAAGTGCGTCTTTCATATATAAATATAACATATGCAATAAAAATAATTAATATTAATTTCAAATTTTAGAATCCAATCATTTCATGAATCACTAACACCAACACTACCTCTATGAATTTGTAAGGTCTGTTTATTTGTTACGAGATATTATTTATTGGTTCTTAAAACCGATATTTATTCAATGGAATTTAATTTAAAACTAGACATTTTGAAATAAAGTTATTGCAATTATTATTTAGATCATAATTAAAATAATAACAGTGGTTGATTAAACAAAGGAAAAAGATAATTCATCTAATCCTATTTTGTAAACTAATATTTGACAAATATAGCAAGGAGGTATTTATTTTATTTTTATAAAAAAAAACTGAAACTTAAATATATTTTTACCAAAAAAATAATTTGTATGCTACGAAATTGATGATTAGGATTTACAACATTTGAGTACTTAAAAAACAGTAGAAATTGCTTTCTATGTAAAATTCGAATGTCATAGTACCGAAGCAATCATAATAAGCTATTGCAAAGGTATTTATTTAAAAGCTCGTACATCTAGAACTGAAACTTGAAAAAAAAGTAAGTGTATGTGGTTGCGTACAACGAATGTTGATTGAATACATATTATTTGAATGTATGGTATTCATTTGTAATGCATAATTAGGATTGAAGTCGGAATTTATACATTAAACTAATTTATATAAAGAATGGTATGAGATCAACACATAATCAAAAAATATTACATACATATATATTTTTATACAGTGAAACCTCGCTTAACGAATTAAACGTTCCAAAATTTCCGGATTTTTACTCGTATGGTGAAACATATTAAAAAATACACATAATATGTGTAAACAAGTTTTTAAAATGATGTAGCAGGCGATTCTCTTCTCATCATCATTAATTTTACTAGTTAATCGAAATGCTCGTTCCACTGTAAACTTTTCTATATAATAAATATAATATTTGTTTAGTAAAAATAATTTAGTTGATTCATCTCCTGTGAATTGACATTATTTCTCAGTAGTTGAAATTTTATATATGTCTCAATTCATCAAATTTAATATAATGCAGACCTTACCATGATAATCTGCATGAATATGTTATTAAAACATTTTTAATAATAATATTTATTGGCCAAACATAAGAAAAAAAGTTATGCGGTTTTTATTTCAAAAAGCATTTTTTTTAATAACTATTTTAGGCCAATTTGACACGTTTTGACACAAATTGGCAAACCATTTATCGAAAAAGATGATAATTCTGAACGAGCTTCAGAATTGCATTTATGGATATCAGGAATTGTACAAAAAATAGCAAAGCCATGGCAAAGTTTAATTACTGATTAAATTTCTTTGTATAAATTTAGAAGGAATATGTTAAGATTATATTTTTCTGAAATTTAATAAACGTGATTGTAACGTTTTTATAAAATTATGAATAAACATTTCAGAAAAAATATAGTAAGACTAATTATTTTTCTGAAATTTAATAAACCCTTTTTTATACGATTTTCGGTAAATTTTAACTCATTGATTTAATACGGTTTTAAAAAAATATGGAACGTATCCTTTATTTTTATACGTGTCTAGTCCTTTTTTGTATGATTTATTTTTATGCGTTTTCCTGTGGAACGTATCTACCGCATAAAAAGAAAACCAAGTGTACATTCTATACGTAAATGAATTCTAACATAAAATAAAAAAATATATTAATAAGCTGTCCAAAGGGCGATTCTTAATATTATTTCAGTATAATCGATATTTGTAAACTTACTTTTTATATAAAAATATAACTAATTGTTACATTTATAATTCTGATAATCTACGATTTACTTTCGCAAATCTTGTGAAAATCATTTAGTTGAAGAAACGTTATTTCCTCATTTTACTTACGATATGAAATGCGCAATAGTATTACATTCTCAAGGTTTTTTAAATAGTAGCAACAAAATATAGATTTATACGTCGATTTATTGAAAATGAAAAAAGTATTGAGTAATCTTCAGAATTAAATAAATATATTTTTTATATTGAATTTACCAAGTGATAATATTTTGGAAACAAATAAATAATGTTTATAATAAACAATACCAATATTCACTTACACATTTGTCGCGTTTATAAATTTGAATGATTTCTTATAATGTAGTTCTTCTCATTTAGTACGACTGAATTCAAACTAAAGGCCAAAGCACAATTGAACGTAATTTAATGAACGGCGCAGTTACTTTACAACAAAATCAGCAAATGCTAGGACAGCAAAAATTTGACCGACATCAAAAATTTCAATTGTAGGCAAAAAAAAATATTCAAAAATATTAAACATATTTGCTTGTCTTGACAATTATGTACCTTAAATAATTATTTTATTCTAAACTTATTTATCTTTCTTAATGCTTATTGCGTTATAATATAACAATTAGTAAAAATAAAAATAACCTTATTGGAACTTCAGGAGTTTTGTTGCTTTTTGATGCACGAACACGTGTGTCTACGGTGAGTTGGTAATGCTTATATACCTGGCAAAGGAACAGGTATAAAAGGTTTATTGTATAAATTATCTAGTTTTCTGGCTAGATACCAGTTTTTTTCTTCTTATTATCCTACAAAAAAACATTTTCTAATCATAACATATTGCTCTCTGTAAAATCTTAACTCAAAGAGTAGATATTTTAAATTCCGTATTAGAACTGTAAAGGAAATCTAAGCTTGATATTATTTGCTTTATACAATTAATTAATATTTTACTATAATATAAACAAAAATATCACAACAATATTTAATAAATTATTTATTGAAATTGTGTTTTCATTCAACGAATATTAAAGTTTATGATTAGTAATAGTATGGTTTTCAGCTTAACCATGTGAACATTTGCACTTATTAAATGTTCTTGAAATAACAATAAGTATTTTAACAATTTCAACAAGTGTTTTAGGACTAATTGAATTTTCTCTATTCGAGGTATTGTTGTACATCTTTCTGCTGACAACATTTACTTTTTTATTTTAATATCTCTGTTGTAAAAAAAATAAAATATAGAACAGATATTTTCGACTGATGTACACAGCGACACAATACTATATTTGGCACAACTAAGCATACTACTATGCAAAATATCATTAATTAAACTCTTTTCTACAGAATTTCAAGCATAAATCATACGACATCATCATTTAAGTGTTCCGCTGAAGTTTAACTATAGTTTAAAATTTTTCGTGATATAAAAAGGTTGAAAACACTGCTATAGTGTCTTAAATAACATATGTATTTTATTCTCATAATTATACTACAAAAGTTGGTTGTTTTTTTTGTTAATTATTCATCAAATTAAATACGGGACAAAGAAAAGAAAATCTCAATACAGACTAAACCGTAAACACATTGGTCAATACTCATTGTGTAATTAGTAGACTTCTTGAAAATGTGTATGTATTTTGACTCATATATTTGAGGCTGTATCAGTTGGGAAAACAACTTCTGTTGAAACAAAAATAATATGTGTCAAACGATAAACTTACTTAATCAAGGGCACCTAAAATCGAAAATTTCTTCATTTATATAATATTATATATAATTTACAATGTTTGTTAGCATAGTGTAAAGTATGTAGTATTTTTTTCATTGATATATTTTACTTCTATAAACTAATTTTGCCATGTAAACTAAAATTCTTGTATGCTTAACTTCTGTAAATTTTGTAGCATTAACGACAATGACTTGAAATGTTTTAAAAATAAATTTGCAATGGCATTATAATTATTCCTACTGTATAGAAAAGATTTAGTTAAAGGATTATAAAGAGATATAATAACAAATGTTATCAAGTATGTGGAAGACAAGGTTAACAACAAAAACAACAAAGTAATGTCGCCATTTGTTAAAATCAAATAAGCATTGAGATGATTAGTATCCAAATATAAACTGAACTTGTAAATTTTGCAAGTGATCTTTGATGTTATTTATAAACATTGCAAACTCATTGTCCAAGTACAGTTCAATAAATATTTAGATAATTACACTGTTTATATATATATATAATCATATAATTAATTTCATATTAGAAATTCGAATAAATATGTAAAACAAAAGGAAATATTTGAAATTACAAAAAAATAATGTTTATTGCGCGTGAATTGGCATCACTGCTCCATACGTTTTGAACCGATCGTAACCAAACTTCACTTTAAATTACAAAGAGTGAAAGACAAGAAAAAAGCAATAGTATCACATCAAATATAACCATCAATATTAAGTCCAGTTTTTTTTAAGTTGTCATAGGCAAACACATGATCTTGGGTAAATTCAACTGATTTATGGTAATAAATTCGTTGCCTTCCCGTGTTAAATAAAAAATAATCCTGCTATTTTTTTGAGAAACTGTCCTGTGGGTAAAAATGGCTAACATTGCAACGCAAAGAATCAAACGCGAATTCAAGGAGGTTATTAAAAGTGAGGAGGTAACGTATCTGCGTTTCTTGGTTAACAATATAAAATGTCATTCAATATAAATTTTGTGTCGGTGGACGAAAGATGAACAGACAAAAAAAGAACGTACGAACGACCAAATTAGTCGCCGTTCTCTGTTTTCGTTCAATTGGAAAACGTCTTTTTGTGTCAATTATGAGAGAGACAGAGTGGAAAAAAAGTTAAAAATAATCATTGGGTTATTGCTAATATCTACTTACCAATTGGCTGTTCCTGCATGGTTCCCATCATTCTTATACTCTCTTCCTAGTCCAATAGTATTTGAAAATTTCAAAGAGAAAAAAAATTGAATGCTGAGTGTGTCTGTTGTAAAAGGTTATCTTGATAACCTTTTGTTTCACTGAGCCATACTGATAATAACATTTTCCCTCTTTCCCTACTTTTAGGTTGCAAAATGTGCGATCCGTGTTCAACTTGTAGATGACAATTACACTGAACTGAAAGGTGAAATTGCTGGCCCACCTGACACACCTTACGAAGGAGGCAACTTTGTTTTAGAGATCAAAGTCCCAGAAACTTACCCATTTAATCCACCTAAGGTAATTGCCACCAAAGGCTTTTTGCATTCTGTAAAACATGTGAATTATATATTGCATTTATTTGTACTATATGCTATTTATTGTTGAAAAATCATTTTGGACATATAGGCAATTGGTTATCATAAGAAAGGGAGAAATATTAGACAGAAAAATGAACTGAAGATTCTTCTCTGAGCAATATTCATTCTGTAAAGAAGTTGCTGACAACAATAAATAATAAACAGTTCCATCAACAAATTAAAATATCACTTGTACATAAATTGGTTAAATACATACATGGTTGAGCTAAAATATATATTTAATTTCATTATTCTTCAATTTATTTATGTCACTGTGTAATGTATGGAATGAAATCAGGACAAAAATGTATTATTAAATATCTACTTTTTACAGGGTATTCACTCATTCTTATATTTATAGTTTTAATCCAAAAAATTTCTTGATCAAGTATTCAGAAAATATTTTAATATTTATTTATTTTAATAGTTATCCAATTGTTGGTATATTGATATCAATGGTTTGTTATGTTGTATGATGTTATGTAAATTTAATTGTCTATTATTACTAAGTTATTTTATTTATATCTAGTTTATAATGAATAACATCTGGGAAACACGTTGCACAACTTTATAATATTAAATGAAAATTTACTTAAAAAAATTACTTCTACTAATTGTATAATTAAAAAATAGCTTCTTCGCAAGAATATATATAAAATTAAATATATAAAATATTTTGCTGATTTGTTAAACAAATAATATAAATAATAAATCAATATTCTAAATAATACAACTACAATAACTTTACATTAACTGTTTTAAAATAAAATCTTAATAAATTTAGTACTAGAAAGTACTTCAAATATTACTTTTTGCATGTGTAAGCTTATCAAAACGTTATTTGAATTTCTATTTTGTGTAATATTCTTATCTGAATTTTATTTATTCAATATTATTCAGATAAGAAAATAGGCAAGGAGATAAAGTCTGTACCTGGATTTTGGAAATATTTAATTTTATCGCTAAAATTTCAACATAAATATATTAGCAGTCATCCTATGAATTGATCTTTTACATTATTTAATTGTATATTTTATTATATGTATGCATTGTATTTTTAGGTCAGGTTTATAACGAAAATATGGCATCCAAATATATCTTCGGTGACAGGTGCAATATGTTTAGATATATTAAAAGATCAATGGTGAGTTTATTTTTTGTTTTACTGAAATTTCAGAGTATCGTGCTAAACATACGAATGTTTTAGGGCAGCAGCTATGACCTTGAGGACAGTGCTATTGTCCCTGCAGGCCCTACTCTCTTCAGCGGAACCTGATGATCCACAGGATGCAGTGGTTGCCAAACAATACAAAGACAAACTCGATATGTTTGAAAAGACGGCCCGCCATTGGACGCACGTCTATGCAGGAGGTTGGCATCGAATTATATCAATAATATGAATGTGATACATGTGTTTATTACTAGGGCCATGTTACAATCAAGAATTCGCGGATAAAATAAAAAGACTAGAAGATATGGGCGTGGAAGAAAACCAAGCTCGGGTAGCGTTATCTTCCTATAATTGGGATTTGGAAAGGGCAACGGAACAATTGTTTAGTTCGTAGTATGCCACCGAATTTTAGGATTATCAAACAAAGAGATCGAGTATGGATTTAATGAATTACAAACTATACAGAAAATACAAATAATAATAATTTCATACACACCTAGCGAATATTACCGTTTTGTTGTTTACCTTTAGTTTATTATTATTTTTTCCACTCTTATTTAATTTTTAGTCGAAGAATCTACAATCAAGCAACTTCAGATTCAAAATAATTGCAATATGTGAAATATCAAGATGATCCATTTATTTATTTCATTTTTTCATCTGGTAGTGTCTTTTTAATTGCTTCCAATCATTTAAGGATTTTCAAACCTCAATTTATTTAATATTTATTTAACTTTTTCTTTTGTTTTTTATCTTTACTTATAATCTTTTATAACTGTATATAGGAAAAGAGTAATGAAAAGAAACGATTTATTATGAATGTTATGTGTTATTGCTCTCCAACTGTCTTTAAAATTAAATAAATTTTAAACGAAAATGCTCACACACACAAATTACTAACAATAACTGCAAATATGAATAGTAAAGTACTATACGCGAATGCTTACATTTTTATTTAATTTGTAAATAAATATTTCGATTATTGTAATAATTTTTAAATATATTCAAAAAACACAAATACTGATCAAACAATATCTATATAATCCTGTATTTCAATACTAATAAAATATTGAATAGAATACAGTAGGAAGAATTAATAAATCCCTCTCAACTTACTATCAATCAAGAAATTTTAGTTTGCTATTGCAAATACTCTTTATTCTACTAGACCTAAATTGAATTTATATTAAATTGCTAAAGAGTATTAATGTGATATCATTGCCCAATTTTCGTAAGCTGTAGTATTTTAATTATCAAATTAAAGCATTGAATATGCGAAAAATCAAATTGTTTAATATCAATGTATTTCCAATAGATGGCATGTGCATCTATAATGCTGTAAACAGCAACGATAGCTGTTGGTAGTTACGACACCTGTAAGTCCCCGGGAAAATGGTTTTTATGGTAAGTATCATGAAGTCAAGAAACTTATCTTCTAAAAAGAACTTTTTTAAATATACAAGTGGTATAATCAATCATTATCCATGTTTCCATTTAATATTATTTTCTATCCACATAAATGAGTGTTGCTCTTCTTTATCAAAGTTACTTTTTTTTTCTATCTTGTTTTTATTATACAGTGCTAAACTTTTAAGGCTTACTTTAATTCAGATGCTGAGGAATTTAACATGGATTATGGTAATTATCTTAGATGTTGAACTAATTGTTGTTAATAATATGTAAATATTTTAGATGACTTGCAAGTTGACCTTGTAATGGAAGTAGAGATTATAAATGACACGTCTGAAGAAGAACTGTTGGAACAAGATGTTTCACCTAGCAGTAGTTCAAGTCCTTCACCAATTTTACAAATAGAGAATAATGAACCTAATTTCCTGCAGTTTGATGAAAATTCAGAGAACAGAACACCTTCACCAATATGCAGTGCATCAAGTTCTAACCAAGATCCACCTATTAAAGTAGAATCACCAGCTAAACGAAGAAAAGTTAGCAGTGATGATGAAGATGGTGCTCTTTGTCCCATTTGCTTAGACAATTGGATGAGTACAGGAGAGCATAGGGTATGTGCTTTGAGATGTGGACATCTTTTTGGATATAAATGCATTACTAGGTGGATCTTCAGCAACAAGTCATGCCCCAGCTGTAAAATGAAAGCATCATCATCAGATATTCGATACATATATGCAAATAAATTGATCGCTATGGATGCAACTGAATTAGAACTAGTAAAGAAGAAATTGAATAGTGTTATTGAGGAGAAAAATAGGATAAAAGTGGATTTGACTAAAGCAATATGTAAGGAACATACACTGTTGCAAGAGATTGAGAACTACAAGAAAAAAATTAAAAATTTATCAATTACTAGTAGTAGTTCCCATACAAATAGCAGTACTAAACCAGTATTAAAGTTGAGCAATTCATCTCTAGTTTGTCAGCAGGGTACATGCAGGGTCATGGACATAAACTCTCAAATTGGAAAATTTGCAATATCTTTGAAATCCAATAACAACCTATTTCCAGGTTTTGGCATTAAAAAATGTTCCACAGATAATTTAGCAATAGTAGAGTACACACCACTGCATTCAAAAGTTATTAGGGACCTGAAATTTAATCACAGCAGTTCTTATTTACTAAGTGTTTCATTAGATAAATCAATCAAAATATCAGACCTTAACAGCAATAGTACAATTTCCACATATACATTTGATAGCATGCTTTGGTCATGCTGCTGGGATGAAAGTAAGGTGAAAAGGAAATTTAAAATCATTGTTCCCTAAAAGTTTTTTATTTTATTTTGCAGGTAATCAAAATCTTTTTTATGTTGGAAGTCAACAAGGTGCTACAACTAAATTTGATTTGAGGAACATGTCTGAGCCTGTCAAATCCACTAAGGTAACTGGCGACTGGTCGCCAGTTGTTTCATTAGTCTCTATTCCCTCTTGTCGAGGAGGACTAATGCCTCTAGGAGGTTTCATCACATGTAAATTGAATTCCATGTGGTGCTACGAGAATATGGGTGGATCTGTTTATAGGAAGCAACAAATCCCCATAGAGGGTCCGTTCATCTCAATGTCCTATAATAAAGATATCAATCAAGTGTTGATATCCGCTAGACCGAATTCACGAGTGCCAAATTCCAGACATTTCGTTTGCAATTTCGAAAGACTGCCTAACGAGGAAAATTTTAAATTTAATACTTTGTACACTTTCTACGGAGGCCAATTGCAGAAACAGTTGTCGCGGTCGCGTTTCTTGCAGCATGCAGGTTACACTTACGTAACCGCACAAGTTAACAATACAATTTCACTATGGAACGTGAACAACGGTAGTAACAGTTCAGTGCTTACAAACAATTCAATTCTAGATTTGATGCCGTTGAAGAATTGCAATGACTCGTATCTGCTCGCATTGTCCGAAAAGAAATTAGATTTTTATAAATTTCAAAATTGTACCTAATTATTTTATATTTGATTATTAATAATAAAAACCGAAAGTTCAATTTTAAATTATTGTTTTGTAAGAATTTTGAATATGTAAAATAATTAAATAACATATTGCAGCGTTTCCCAAACTTTTGAACATTGCGTATTCACATATTCTTTAAAAAATACAATTAGATGTTTGAATAAATATTTCACCGACAGGCACTTTAATATTTAAAATTATGAAAATCTTTATTTTTTTTCGCGGAATGAACCAACGTGAAATACGAATGATTTGTAGAAAAAAGATCAAAGTAATTAGTTTATTGTTTATGTTACATACCTAATTATTTTGTACTAGAAAGCTGCCTAGAGAAATTTGTTTTTGCCTATGTTTCAGATTTTGGTGAATGCGTTTTATTAGATCTTTTGAAAAGTTTAGCGTCCTAGTACACATGCGTACAATCAGAAACCTGAAAAATCTCACGGGTGATTCTCTTTGAGCAAAGAATTTCTAAAGATTCGTAATTAGAAACTAACTTGAAAATCAGGTTATTATATTTTTTAGAAACTTGATACATTTCAATCAAATTAAACGGTATAAGTTTTTTAATTTTTCTTATTTAATTTAAACTTACGAACAATAATATCAAGAATGCGGTATCTATAAACATTATTTACAAGATCAAATTGGAGCAAGAATAAAAAACTATTGAAGCATGCCTTTGTTACAGCTTTAAGCGATTCTTATGTACATACATAATATTTACACCATAAATGATAACAGTCGATAATGAAATTGTAATTAATAAAGAAAATATTTGTTTAGCTTTGATTATTTCGTTATCAGTGATAACTCTTCTAGAGTAATTAAAAAGAAAAAACCTCAACACTATATAACCTTCAAAGTATGAGATCAAAGCAAATTGTTTCAAATCAAGATGTGGTTAATATATTTCCTATGTGCAATTGCATCGGCTTCGTCCCTCGTAACTATACAAAAACCAAGTTATGAACCTACTTGGGAAAGTCTAGACACACGTCCGTTACCTAAATGGTACGACAAAGCAAAAATTGGAATTTTCATACACTGGGGTGTTTTTTCAGTTCCAAGCTTTGGTTCTGAATGGTTTTGGATGAGCTGGAAAGGTAATACATCTATAGAATCTAAACAAAACCATCGATTGCATTTTTTTTATTTAGCTAGCAACCAAAGCAGATATGTTGATTACATTAAGAATTTCTTTCCGCCCGGATTCACGTACCAAGAATTCGCAAAAGAATTTACTTGCGAATTTTTCGATCCGGACGAATGGGCAAAAATATTTAAAAACTCTGGTGCAAAGTATTTTTTTGTTACATTTAAATGATTCGTAACTTATTTTGTTCAATTTTCAGCTATGTAGTTTTAACAAGTAAACATCATGAAGGATACACACTTTGGCCTTCTAAATATTCTTTCAGCTGGAATAGCATGGACATTGGACCAAAACGTGATCTCGTTGGTATTTAATTTATTTATTTAAAATGTTTAGTTTTCCTCATTTATCTATAAAATTCTTTTCAGGCGATTTATCGAATGCAGTGCGTAAACAAGGAATGCGATTTGGATTATACCATTCCCTTTACGAATGGTTTAATCCCATGTATGTGGATGATAGAAGATCAAACTTCACGAGAAAGACTTTTGTAGACCGGAAGATTATACCGGAAATGAAAGAACTTATAGAGAAATACAGACCTGATGTTTTATGGTCGGACGGTGATTGGGAGGCTTATGACGACTATTGGAAATCTACAGAGTTTCTAGCCTGGGTTTACAATGAAAGTCCCGTGCAAGACACGATTGTTGTTAACGATCGATGGGGAATAGATATTCCTTGCAAGCACGGAGACTTTTTCACGTGCCAAGATAGATTCAATCCAGGTGTTCTACAGAAACACAAATGGGAGAATGCCATGACTATTGATAAAGAATCTTGGGGTTTTCGGAGAAACGCAAAATTAAGCGACTACCTAACTACTCACCAACTAATTACTACTTTGATTGAGACAGTTAGTTGTGGAGGTATTGATAATACTCATTTGTTTTCTAGAATTATTTAACTTGCATTTTTTTTAAGGAAATATATTAATTAACGTTGGTCCTACAAAGGAGGGCATAATTACTCCAATTTTCCAAGAAAGATTACGTGATCTTGGTATATGGTTGAAAGTTAATGGTTTAGCTATTTACAATACTACTCCATGGAAGTATCAAAATGATACAATTGGTCAAACTTGGTATACTACTTCAACGGACAGCGTATATGCAACAACTTTAGTTTGGCCAAAGGGAGGAATCCTAAAATTAACCAAAGTTAAGACTTCGTTTGCTAAGCTAAAATCGTTTTCCAGCGTTAAATTATTGGGTTACGAAAAGGAATTAACGGTAATAATAACTTTTTTATTTTTCAAATGCGTCAAATGTTTTATTTTGTAGGTCAAAGTTATTGCAGATGAAGTTCATGTGCTTTTACCAAGCAAAGACCTAGTTAAAACAGACTGGGCATGGGTTGTTAGGTTTAAATACAACGAATTAATCACTGAATATATTTAATAAATGTTCTTTTACTTTTAACATTATATAAGCGGAATATATATAAAAATGTAGTGTCTTAGAAAATTACAATTTAGAAACTTCGTAAAGATAAGATCCTAGCAGTTTAGTCTGGAACAAAATAAAAAATGAAATAAAACAATAATTGTCATCTTATTATTCTTACCCCTTCAATGTAGTTTCTGATGTCGATCTTCTCGTTCTGGGAGTGAGCACCATCATCACCACAGCCAACAGGTAAAAGCAAAACGTTTTTACCGGTGGCTTCTTGCAGAGTTAAAGTTACTGGAATGGAACCGCCCTCACGAATTAAATCAGGTTCTACTTTGTAAACGTATTTAGTGGCCTTTGCGGCAGCGACGTAGTGAGGATGTTGTGGATCTTCAGTCCAGGATTTAGCACCATGACTCAATTGGATCTGAAAACATTTATATTACAATAAACAAACTTATCTCATAATAAACATGATAAGACTTCTATCACATGATTGAATCAATAGTTATATAAGCTCAACGTACTTTCATCTTGTTTGGGCTGCCACGTTCCGCCCATTTCTTTTCGATATGCTTGATCACATAGTCACCAATAACGTTCGGCTCTTGATTGGGAACAATTCTAATGGAAAATTTACCATTGACTTTGCCCGGAATTACAGTTTTCTGGCCGGGTTCGCTGAACGCGCCTTCGATACCATGGATGGACAAAGAGGGTTGACGCCAACGGTGCATCAGAAGTTGCTCTTTAACAGAATTATGTGGCAACTGCTTTGTACCAATATTCGTTCTGTATTCCTCAACATCAAAGTGTACTTTTTTATACAGCTCTTTCTCAGTATCACTTAAGATAGCTACTTCATTGTAAATGTTCTCCACCAAAATCTTGCCATCCTTATCAACCAAGGTGTTTAGCAGGTACACCAAGTCAGCCATTGCTTCATGTCTAAAATAATGTAATGCATTTATGATAATTGTTGAACGTGAATATTGATTTTTCTTACACAGTTCCACCGAAAACGCCGCTATGAAGATCTTTTTCAGCACATTCAATTTCCAAAAAGAAGTAGCAGAGACCTCTTAGTCCATAAGTGATGCATGGATGATCAGTTCCTAACCAGTAGTTATCAGAAATACAGACATAATCAACATCTGACAAGAACTTATCCTTTTCAGCAAAGAGCAAATCATCCAAGCCTTCACTGCCAGATTCCTCCATACCCTCAAACACAAATTTCATATTGACTGGCAAATCTTCACCAATTTTCTGGAAACCTTCAAGTGCATGGATCCAGCATAAAACTGGTCCCTTGTCATCAGATGAACCTCTGCCATACAGTTTTCCATTTTTCTCAGTTAATTCAAATGGCTCTGTGTGCCAACCATCTTCCTTCAATGCAGGTTGGACATCCAAATGTCCATACACACAGACTGTCTTCTTTTTTGGGTCATTTCCCAATGTGCCCAGCAAAACTGGTGGCAAGGGAATCTGACGGGAGTCATGCAATGTTTGCATACCAACATCACGAAGGACAGTTTTAACTCCCAAATCTTGCAATTTCTTTTCAAACCAATGGACCACTTTTATTGTTTCATCTCTGTACTCTGGACTAGCAGAAACAGAGGGGATAGCAACAGCATCCTTCAAGTTGCTTATATATTTAGCTTTGTTATCATCAATATGTCTAGTCAGAACAAGATAAAAATGGAATTTAAATTTATTTAAATACAGATTTACAGTAATTTATGACTTACTTGAAAAGCTTCTGCAGCGGCTCCGGTAACCCCATTTTGATTGTTCTTAACTGTATTAAGTCTAATCAGCGAATGATTGTGTTATAATAAAGAGACTACTTTGAACTTGTTAAAGTGGATTGCAGTGGACTTTCATTCACTCCTATACTCCCACCAACATCAGCTGTCAAGTGATTGTTTTGGATTGGACGGATATAATGTGAAGATAGCAGCTGTTCGTTCGTTTGATTAAAATCAAAATTGTTTCGATTTGACTATAAGTAATGATAACTGATGATAACACTAATATTTCAAGTGGTACATAAATGTAGTCCATATACAATAAGTTACTATTGGAATTATATTCATAAATAATATCTAATATGTGATACTTTGTAGGACAACATAATAATACAAAATAATAACCACAACGTTCAGTAGAGGAATTTCCATTTGTGGTTTTGCCTTGGTAGTCGAGGAAATTTTGATATTTTTATTTCATTTAAATGTTACTGAATATTAATATATATTTACAATAAGAATAGGTGATTAAGCATGATTAAATTATATAACTTTGTAAATATTATTGGAGCTAAAGATAATCTTAAATGAATATATTTAAGAGATATCTATCAATATAAAAATGGTATTATGCAAACGCAATGTATTTTCGTATTGTTTCTTTTATTTTTTTAATATAATGAATAATTGAAACTACAAAATTTTGTCCCGCTCGCAAAATATTATTCAAGGGGCGAAAAGACCTCGATCGATAACACTTTGGTCATACATGTGGGCAATAAATATGTTAAATAAATGTTATTCAAGTCTCTAATATTTTATTATAAAAATTATAAACATAAAATATATTAACATTTCTTCCTCTCAGATTTTAAATCCTGCTGATGATTTTTTAAGAAGCGGATTATGGCTTCATGAATCCTTTCACATTTCATTCAAATATAAGTGAAGTTAATAGAATAATCTACTAATAACTGTATTAGTAGGTTTTATTTATAAATGTAAATACAAAGAGAATAAATCATTATGTTGAATATGGTTTGGGTGTAAATTTTAAGCTCCTCGCTTATTGACTAATTCGTTTAGCGACGTAGTCGTCGGAAGTCGGTTGTACTGTGAGGAGTACCTGTATAGAATTTTCTGAAACAGTTAAATTGAAATAATTGACTTTAGGCGGAAAGATCGAAGTCGATAGTCCTTTGCAAAAATGTAATTTATTTAGAAATATTATTATAAATGTCAATTTAAAAGAAACATAAACTTTTTCAAGTAGTTGAAGTTTTGTATTCAATATTACAAATTTATTTAAAATAAATTTTGACACATATATACAAGTTATATATAAAATATAAGTTCATATGGACAAAAGTTTAATTGGTTTTACTTGTAACTAAAGAATTGTAGTAGCTCTTGATTTTATCTAAGAAATATAAGACACTTTCATTATGTTGAAGATCCAAAAGAGTTGTACCCAATGATTTGTGCACCTTGCCAATTAGGTTTGCACTTTTGGATCCATAACTCTGAACAGCAGCTGGTGCTTTCGAAAGGCACATATTCCAAATTCTAATTGCTTGTTCTTCAACAAACAAAGTCTCTTTAAGCTTGAGTGAAGTTAGTACAAAAAGTGAAACAAATAGAAAGATCATCATAAAAAGAGGCAAGTAAGAATAAAATCCTTTAGAAGATTCTGGTACTTGAGCTACTGTCTTAAACTCAGTCTTTTGAATAGTATTAGGCTCCTTCACAATTGCTGGTTTAGATTCAACAACTTTTACTTTGTCCTTCTTCTTACTTTTCTTTTCTTGGGCTTTCAATTTTTGAGCTGTTGCTTCCTTAGCTTCCTTCTCCTTCTGCCTTTGTTTTTCCCTAATAGCATTTTCTTCGTCCACCTTGTCTTTCAACTTTTGATAAAAGTAGATGATGTTTGTTGCACATGTCTGACATTGCTTACTATCTAAGCACAGCCCAGATACTTCCTTAATTGCGGGCACCAAAGGGTTATCCTTTAAATCCAACCATTTCAGATTCTTCAAATTCCCAAAGCTCAATGGCAAATGCTCCAATTTATTCATATACAAATCTAAATGCTTGAGCTTTGTCAATTCTCCGAAATTATCTGGCAATGCTTTCAATTTATTCTTGCTTAAATCTAATTTTATTATATTCTTTAGAACTGAAAAATTTCTCTAAAATCAAAAGTTTTATTAATGAATTCTTTATATTAATTAATAAAACTCACAGGCAGCTGAATGATATGGTTATTAGATAAATCTAAACTGTGGACTTTCCTATATGTCGACTAAAAAATTACTACTATTAAAAATCATATAGGAGTTTCACTGGTAGTCTTACGATTTCCCTAACTGGCACATCTTGGATATCACACATACTCAAATCCATTTCTCCATCATCAACTTTATCTTTTAAATTCAATTTCTGATTTTGAGCCATGTTAATCAGGAGGTTCTATGTCCGTTTTAAACTGAAATATAAACTGAAAATTTTGACACACGTTTCCGAAAGATTGAATTGTAATTACTTACTTAGTTTTTGTTTTCGAAAATAATAAATAAAACAAAACACTAGTGCCGACAAGGATTTTCAAAAATAAACAAGTTACACGTCACTGTTGTAACATAAACACTGTTCCCAACAGCAGGAAAGTATAATTAGTTTGACAACTTACTTATTAATTAATTATCCTATTTAGGTATATAAAAAAAATATTATATAACACTAATATACATTGAACTAACTGTACAAAATATTTTTCAAAAATGTAATGTCATTTAGTTCTGAACAGTTGTACACAATGTAATGACATTGAAAGTCAATGTCGTCAATGTCATATTCATATGACATTAAGTTTCCTACTCGTGTGTTTAAGAATGTGCGCGCTCAAGTGATTACACAACATAACATTAATTTATATAATTGTTAAAGTAATTCTTTAAGGGTAACATCTTTCTACAAATAAATAAAAGCAGTTGCTTATTGTATTAGAATTTCCATTCATCACTTGAGTTTTATTTAAATTTAAACTAAAATGTATAATGTGAAAGGTCCAAGTAAAATAGTTGCTAAAACGCGAAGAGGTGAGCTTTTGCTATAGTCTTTGTTGAATTAGAAATAAAAAAGCAATTGCTTCTAGGTCCACCTCAAAATATTGAGAACTTTAAAGAGTATAGAAACAACAAGGGTTTGGAAAATGATGATGATCTGATGAAGTATGTACAAATTGAAAGTAGGTGGTGGTTATATTAAAGCAAATAACTACTTGCAGTGGGCCCAAACCAGTCTTTCAAAATGTGCCAAAGAGATTTATGCATAATAACAATAACAACAACCAATTGGAATCTCATGTGGATATGCCACAGCATGGAGAAATAATAAAGTTTATTAATGACTGTAAGTAACTAATTATTCTGATACATCTAAATCATTAAACTGCAACTCAATTTTTAGCTTGGAATTGTGTATATACAGAAGTAAACAACAATAATAAAGTTATAAGTAAGTTTACTTAAGATTGTAGAATTAAGGAAATATAATTATTTCAATTTGTAGATAGTAAATCATCAAATGTTGTGTATTATAAGGATGAGCCTGCATCTGCATTACAAAACTTTAAACCATTTGATCTAGAATCTTGGTGGGGCAAAAGGATATACACTTGCATAACCAGCTCTATTAATGGAAATTGTTGAATACAAATATATATGGAAGACAAACATACACATTATACTAATTTTTATATAAGAGTAGTATAGATTTATGAAGGCTGAATGTTCTGTAGTACTGTACAAAACAAATGGTGATAGATGTTAGAAAAAAAACAAATATGAGAGAAATCTGTATGAGGGTAAATGATTGTATTTTTGTGATATTTACTTTATACTGATGAGTTGATGTTTTGTGACTATATTTGTGTGACACTCATGTTGCAATTGTTTTATATTATTTTGTATCATATCAATTTAATCAATTGCATTGGTTTCCCTATTTATGAACCATTTGCAGGGTGTTAAAATAATTATTACAATATACATATTTGTACCTGTGCTAGTCTTATTTAAGGAAAAAGAAATTTGTTAGTCCTGTTTATTTCTTTTTTCAATTGTGTGTTTATTTACATCATGTTATTATTAAAATATTTTTACTACCATACCTTATTACATATCATGTTGAAAATAAAAATGCATAAACTAAAAAAATGCTTATCTATTGTTTAGGTATTTACTTACTCCTTATGCGCTGATTAGGTATACATTTTTGATTACGTTGTGCAATTGTGAATAGTCATCAAATCCTTTTACCGTACGAATATTTACGTATTGAAAAATGTAAGTAAACAATAACGGCTTCAAACTTTAATAGATATCATAAAAACAAAAATAGAAAGTGATATACAGGCTGGATAAAAATGATCTAGTAAATAATCCGAATCATTTGTATTCTTTAAAACAGAGTATCCCAAACTATTATTATTCCGCGGAACAGTGGTGTTCCATGAAAACTAGGAATAAAAAAGTACTAAATATATAATGATTTTTAATTTTATTGTTTATGTATTCTTACCTACACTATAAAATAAACAAGGTGTTCCGTGAAAATTTCAGGATTTACGAAGTGTTCCGTTGCAGGGAAACCCTTCTATTAAATTATATAAGTGCAATAAAAATATTGCATACATGCCACTTGAAGACTACAACCCAAAATTTTCGATTTGTTCTCTTAATATATCAGTTTTTCTGGACTTCCATAATGGATATTTTTAGATATTGCAGGCAGTACATACATATTTCTAATCCTGGGGCGCTCTATATTTATTTGCAGAAGGGCGTCTTGCATAAGAGGGCTTATACTACACTTGATGCATTTTTTTTACTTAACTTTTCCATACTTCTTACTATGGCGGTATTTAAAAGAAAGATTATATTGGACCATTTATCAATGGAACAACAAAATCCGTAAAAAATTGAAGTAATAAGTCAAAAAACATTACTACAGGTGTTGTTAGATGCTTTAGAAACAGCGCGTTCTTTTGAAGGGTATTTAAAAGGATGTAATTTTTAAAACTTATAGAGATAAACTGTTATAAAAGTCTGTCTGTTTAGAAAAGCATAAATATTAATTACTAAATATTGAAAAGTTATTCGATATTTAATTTCTTTTAGTCCATCTTGTAATTTACTATTTGGCTATTGGTCAAATCAGGAAATAATTACATTTATATACAGAATAGCTGATATATTTTTTATGATGTCCAACATATCTTAATGTATTTAAATATGTCAAAATATCTAATTCGGATTTTTCCAACATGTTTAGATAAGGGGTCGGTAGGTTCCCTTTTTCAATATTTTAAAAATGGTTTGTTACACCTTACAGTTTGGCGATACCTGATTTAGATCGTTATAAATTTAAAAAAAAAAACTATAGTTTGTACATTTTGGGCTGAAAATAACAGGTAATACATTTTAACAAATATTAATCTCTTTTAAAATTCGTTATAGTTTTTACATATTTTAAATATAAAATATAACTAACAATATAAAATGATAACTGTTGAAACAGTTTGTAGATTATGTACAGGGGTGGACGGTTAGCTATTTGGGTGCCCTGGACCTACACTGTTTGGGGGTCCTTAATTAACCCAAAGTTTGGGTTAGTTGTGTATATTTTATTGTTTTGATCTCCGAAGGACGTCCTTCGAAAGAGCGGGGAGCTGTTCTACAGCTTACATCCGCCCCTGACTATA